AAAAAAAAAAAAAAAAAAAGTGAGACACTCACTCTTCCAGGTACCAGGGGAACATTAGTCTCAGCCTTGGTTCTTTCTGCTTCATCATAGGAAGGCAGCGTAGTCGCTACATTGTATGACGGAGGCTTGGGGAAAATCCCATCTTCCTTGCAGTCAAAGAACGCTAGCAAAGAAATAAAGCACAGTTTCAAACACACGCACGCACAAAATTGAAAAAAATGTATTATTTAATTCTAAACAGGTCCAATCCTTTTGTTGACAAAGACAAAACTAAAGTTAACACTGAACACGTGTTCTCAAACATTCACATAAACCTTTAAGGGGGTTAGTCTGCAAGTGGTGACTAAATGGAAACAGTGAAAGAAGAAATTTCCTGTATTTTCTCCCATGTGTCTTCTAGAGGATTCTAATATATCCACACAGTTTGCCCAATAACACATCAATTCTTTCTCAGCTACATGTTGCATTTAGCTCACTACTTTTCCAACAAAATGTACACTACAGTTATTAATACATGACTTTTACTCAGGCACTCCTGTGCGGATCAAAATGAATGTGATTCCCTAACATGCCACCACTACAGATGACCTCAGCTCCAAGGAAACACCATTTTTACCAGAATTGTCCGCTGTGACGCTGCTGTACGGCGGAGGAGCATCAGCCGCTACCTGTGGACTCTCTTCTGAGTCCTCCTCATTGGTAAGCTGTGAGAGGAAGATAAATTAAGTTCACAGTTAAAGCTGTGAGGCATATATGCGTAAACCCTCCATATGCATATTTGCCTATCAAGTGGCCAAAAATAACTCCACGCTCGCCAAAGGCAGATTATGAGCGAGGAAAAAGCCTGCTTTTTTTTAATGTTGAAACCTTTCTAAAGAAGTGAAACAAGACAGTTTAAGACCACTAAAGGTGTGAAGTCTGCTGTCAAGATGCACAGACAAGTCCTAGGACTGATCAGTTCTGCCCTTCAAGTCAAATAGCTTTTTAACAGCAGATTAAATATTGCATATTAAAAAAAAAAATCCCACAACTAGTCAACTAAATTAAATAAAATCTAAACACGTCATAAGAAACTATACAGATGTCACTTCTTCATTGGTTAAGATTTTACAATATTAATTATTAAGCAGACTTTTGATATATTGAGAAATTCAGCCCAAATGAACTTTTAAACACACTGGCCCCCATACAGATTTTTTTTAACTTCCATATTTGTCCCAGTTACAAGAAAAGACAGATTTCTGTTAAGTCCCATAACAAAGGTTTGGATATAAAACTGAAGACCAGTCAAGTGCATAGGCATTCCCCAATGGCCTATTCTGAGCCAGGGAAGAAGCCTGCATGTTTGAAAGTTGTGGCACAACACTGGACATCCTGACCTACTTAAAAGGAACTTAAAACTCAGCATTCATATAAAACAGAACTGGGAAAAAGAAAGAAAAAAAAGATGTTCAGTGATGAGTTTCTTATCTCTCCTTTTTTGTTATTAGCAAGGAAACTGTTAGCAGGTAAGTCTGTGAAACCAGGCCAACACAGTTATGACTTAGAACCAGTGAGACTTTATTTGCTCCTATTTCCCCAAAATAAGAGTTTAAAACTAAGACTGATTGTTCAATTGTCATAACTCAGTTTCCAGGAACACTAGGACTGCAGGAGTATTAATCATACATTATGTAGCTTAGACATTAAAGTGTACCTGTTAATTTATTAATGTCATGTGCACAGTTGCTAAAATTCTCTTTGGCGCAATCCCAGTCTTATTTTTGTTTTCTTTAACTTCACTACAGGCCTGTGGTACTTTTAACAGTTTTATTTTTACTGTAGATTATAATATTTATATTTTTATTCTTTACAGCAGCCAGTGTAAAGGTTGTCTCTTTTTTGAGATGCTTAAAGTATCTCTCTATATAAATATGACTATAAATATAGTATTTTTTCCCCATAGTGAGAAATTCACAGACTCAAATTAGCCTCTATGCACCTGATCACTAGTTATTATATCAAACACCAACATGAACATACATCTGATACGGCCTGTGTGCTCTAATAACAACAGTAAACACACCCATTGGTGCAGCTCAGGTGATAGCCACGGTTTAAATGCTCTCATATTTTTCAAAAGGTGATCGAGATATTGCTCAACGGTTGACCTTATTTACCAAACAATACTCAGTAGCTGGCAAGCTTTCGCGGTAGACTGTAATTCAATATGAAAAAGACGCCCACATATTATCACAGAACAAAAGAAAAACCCAGTTCAAAATTCACGTAATGCGTAATTAAAACCCTTAGCGTCTCGTTAGCGCGTTAGCTTCCCGTTAACACACCTAACCCTTTAAACGATTAAAATAAGAACGCCCACAATTTAATCGGCTTAAATCCATCGACGACATCCATCTTTATTCGACGGGAAATTGTCGTCTTGTTTTTAAACACGAAGCGACACGCCTGGGCGACTTTATCTTCGAAGTTAACAGTTCGATGCTAACAGCATTTAGACGACGGTACCTACGACTGAAGCTTTAACGTCTTTTAGCTTGACTTGAAGCCTTCTCTTACCTGCTGATATCTGGGGCTCGATTCGGCCATTCCCGCTTGAACGGCTATCAATCAACGACAGAAATGTATGCCAGCAAGACACCCAACGAGTAAGAAATTATATAACAGTACAAACGGTAAACTCCGTCCTCGCCACAATGGAAAGACTCCTCGTTCGGCTGTGTCTGTATGCTGTCAAGTTAAACTAGCGACCGACAAAATACAAAAACTTTCCTGTAAGCATTTCAAAATAAAATCCATTGTGATGCCTAATTCGCAATACTTTGGGTTTTTCATAGTAATTAAAAATATGTTGTCATTGCAGTTTTACAACTTTGTATTCGTTCGCGTATTTCCAATTAAGAAATATGCTCCATTTTAATGCTAGATTGCAATTAATTTATTATGTAATTAATCAGTTTCCGCTACGTTCTCACTTACTTGACGAAGTTCTTGTACGTCAACTGATTGACGTCATTGGCCACAACAAACCCTGTACTGCCACCTTTCGGTCGTGAAAGTGAAACAAGAAAGTAGTGATGGGATTTCCGTCTCTTTTTAGAGAACCGGCTCTTTGAGCTCGACTCACTAAAAAGAGCCAGCTCTTTCGGCTCCAAACCGGATCTTCAGGTTGTTTTGTTGCTTTAATTAATTTATTATTAACAATAATATAAAATTATGCACAAAAGGAATTACTAATGTAAAAAAAAGTGGTTTTATTTATATATGTTTATATATAAATATATGCGGTGGCCCCTTGAGACAAAGCACGTACAAACTCCAAAACACATTTCTAGCGTTAACTGAACCTCCAAAACAGAGCTACCTAGATCACTTAAATTACACAATTGAAAGCATATGTGTATTGTTTGTGTATTCATACACAAGAACTCATATATATTCAAATAATTTTTTAAAAAAATGTTCATTTACCTGTTACTACCACACACCAAATCTGGTCATTGGTACTTGCTGGCTTGTGTAGCCACTAGGTAACACAAGTTTTTAAAAGATGATTAAATTTATGAAATCATGATTTAGCAGCGATTAACCATATTTTCTGGAAAGTTCAGATCAATTTCACTAGCCAAACCAAGGCCTGATTAGTGCCAGACCTGTTGAATCAAGAAAACACTTCATTTGAACCTGTTTGACAAAGTAAAGTCTAAAAGATCTATAAAAGCAAACATCAAGCCACCATCAAAATAAACTCAAGAACAGATGAAAAAAAAAGTCACTGATATCTATCAGTCTGGAAAGGACTTAGAACAACATCTAAAGAACTGCAGACCTCACTTTCCTCATTTAAGGTCAGAGTTCATAATTCAACAATAAGAACTGGACAAAAATGGCCTCCATGGGAGAGTTCCAAGAAAAACACTTGTGACCACAAAGAACACAAAATCTTATCTCGCTTTTGCCAAAAAAAAATTAAAAATTAAAAAAAAAGATTTAAAAAAAATGACGATCTTCAAGACTGGCTGATGTGATCTGAAACACATCACCTCAAACAGGCCATTCGTGTTCAAAAACTCAAGTATGTTTATGTTTTTTTCTCTTAATAAATTAAATCATCACTTAAAAAGTACATGTTTTTATTTACTCTGGTTATCTTTGTCTAGTATTAAAATGTATTTAATGACCTAAAATGTTAAGAAAGATTAAGAAAAAATGTAAACTAGAGATAGAGATAGATCAGTATCCGGCTTCAGACTTCAGAGACTCATCAGTTATTTCCCATCATGTAATCCATAGCACACTCTCAAAACAGAAACAAAGGCAATGCAGTTAGCTCTTGGAAGGTTTTATTGTATCTTTATGTAAAATAAAAAGACAACAACAATACCTATGACACTTTGTACCCAAGCTTAAGTGATGGGGAAGTTGTATGTCAGATGTATTTTCTAGTCAAGTTACCGAGGGTTCAGGTACCTGAGGAGCACAGGGTAGGTGGTACCTATATGCTTCTGGTTGTAGTGGTGGCAAACAATCTCCATGTCGTACAAACTGAACTGGACTTTGACGCGTTCATTAGGCGAGTTGAGGAAACAGAGAGTGTAGAGGGCGAACTCGAACTCGGGACTGACTCCGATGAAGATGCTGCCCTTGGGCTTTATACCGTTCTTCCAGCTAAACTGTAGCGCCAGGATGTGTTTGTTCTCATCGGGCTGCGGTAGGGGCAAATGAAAAAGCCGGTTAGGCAGGGAGAAATGAGTCAGATTGTTTGACAGATATTTGCTGACAGTGGAGAAAAGGCAGGAAAGAAACTACTGATAAATATACAAGGAAAAAGTAACCTGAATACATTTTTGAATATCTGTCTAAATAGTTAAAAGTAAAGTACCAGAGAAAAGAACTTCTTTGCCTGAGTTTAATTAAAGAAAGTCTTAAGAATAGTATACCTGGGGTGAATGTGCAGTGACACTGTAGCCTTTGTAATCAATATGGCCCAGCTTCTCTTGTAAGTATAGCTGGATCCAGTTGTGAAAACCAATAACAGTCCTCCCCCCTCTTGTCTCTCCAACAAACACGTGTTCAAAGCCCGAAGAGTCTGGCCTGAAGAGAGACAAAAAGGACAATGTCAGAAGTTTACAGCCACTCATCATGGGCATGAATGCCACAGTAGTTTTCCTTGACAATTGCAGATTCCAAGATTGCGAGTTTAAAGGATCATACATATGTACAAGTTATTTGGATGTGTCTTTGCTTTGCTTTGCCAGGATCTGGAAGAAGACCCACTCAGATGAGATGAAATTGGTTATAATGTTCAGGAACAACCCAGGAACCACCAAGGCTCCAGACTGCCATGAACTGGAAACTGCTGGACCAGCAGTGTTGCTGTCCACAGTGAAGCCAGTTTTACATCAACATGGACTGAGAGGCTACCGGCCAAAAAAGAAGCTGCTCCAAAATTGATGCCTTAAATTTGCAGCCAAATGCCTCCTGGAGATAAGTTTTATTCCATCCATCCATTTTGCTCAGCTTATCCAATTTAGTTTCTGTTTTAATCCTGAACGCCGTTTTTTTTTTTTTTTTCTTTCTTCCATTTGACAGCACTGACGCTGAATGTATCTGCCACACAGAGCCAGTTTTTCAGCCTGTATTTACCATCGCGGTGCTGAATTCCACTGACGCAGATTCCACCCACCTGCTGGATCCTCTCCTCGCATAAAGTTCAAACCAGATCCTGTACAGCTGCTTCTTGAATTCTGTCTCATCCTCAGGCGAAAGGTGCTTCTTGACCAGGTATTTATGGGCTATCTAAAAAATAGAAGAACTTATTACAAAATGCTTATAGCTCAGCTAGCAGGGCGGCTCGAGATGAAAGCGCTAGTTGGTCCGATCAGGACTTAAATATCTCAAATACCTTTAACCCACAGAGGATAAATCCTAATTATTTAGTGATCCCGTGAGTTTATCTCTTCCACCATTAGTAGGGGAAACTGGAACAAACCTCCACAGACAAATAAGTGCTACTAACATCCGTTTCTTTTGTTCCTGTCATAGAAAGCCATTGATAATATTTCTTCATCCTCTGTATTTAATAATGACACTAACCTACGATGGCGAACATAGTCAAATGCCCCTCATAGGTACCTTCATGGTGGGAGTCTGAACGATGGAGTCCAGGAACTTGTGGTTCTCTGCCACTTCCTCAGGAGTTACAATTTCTGGCTTACCGGTGTCACTCTCATAGTTATCCAGCAGGGAGATAAAGGCTGCAAAGATCAACAGAGGCACATTTCAGTGGCACATTACGTCATTAAACAATGTTTAGGGCTGCTCAGTCCCATAAACATGGAGGATAACAATACAGTGCCTGGTGCACTTACCTAAAAAAGTCTCCTTTTTGAAAATGTTCTCATCGACAAAGGTAAACAGTGGATATCCCGCCCCGTCATTGTTGTCATTGATGTTCATGTCTCCAGCTTTTCCCTGAAACAGGAAGAACAGTGCTTTTCATAAAATGCTCCTCATGTATGCTTCCAGTGATATCTTTTCCTTTACTCTTACTTATGCCTCCAAAATGTATGTATTACTACTACGTGGTAAAAAATACAAACAAGTAGAAAGTTTGTCCAAATTAGGAAGACCTACAATAAAATTTTCCATAAATATCGACGGTTTCTATCACAAAGATCTAACCTTTACCTTTACAGTAGGGCTCTAAGTTTCCGGGCTTTGACTTTTTTACTGAGTAAAGCTCATTCAGAGCTAAAAACTTGAGCTCTATTTGCAGGAGAAGAACAGTGCCTGTTTTGAGGTGTAATGCAGACTGTCAGATATCGTCATAAGTTTGCAGTATATACTATTATCTACAACAGGTGTCTGTGTGTGTCTGAGTGCGTGATGCACCTGAAGGGAGATCCTGTAGTCTTTTCCAGGCTTAAGTCTGTTGATATCATTGTCCCATAGCTCCTGCACCATGGCTGACAGCTCTCTGTCACTCTCAATCATGATATGACCGCTTGCAGATGTGCTGTGGATGCTCTCTCTTTCCAGTATGTGCTTCTGACAGGAGAGGAACAGTTACAGAAGCCTCTGCTTAACTTGAGATTTAAGCTTCAGAGGTGGACAACACCATGAAACTATTGTTCACATATAAAAATGTAAAGCACAGGTACGCTAATGCACGTAGACATACAATAATGTATTTCTGCTCTTTTTGAATTTGTTTAAGTGACCCATCAGATTAAATATAATAGTCACTTATGTGTAAAAAGCTTTTCAGAAACATTTAACTTTGAGGTGATGTGTGTGCAAACAGAGGTTATAAATCAGTTTATACAAATGGTTTTGGCTATTTGAGTACAGCATTTTAGCCCAACCATTTACATGTTTTTTTAAATAAAGAATGTATTTATTATATAAATAATTAGATATAATAAATACCCATTTCCCACTGAGGAAAATTTCAACTTTATCATAAATAACTGGATATTTCAAGCTACTTAAATAGGCATTGTTAATCATTTCTGTGTCACTATAAGGTCCTTTTTATGGTTAGTGGTTTATTATCTTTTGTAACTGATATGACGTTCTTAACTTTAGTATTTTATTTTATTTATTTGTACATTTCAACGTTTTAGATAGATACATGAAAGCGATTCACAAGGCTGTCCTAAGTGACTCGGCACTGTAAAAACATAATAGCTTCAACTGCTTAATCTAGCTTAAACACTACTGCATTCAACAAACGTGGCTGACATAGATTCACACATTGCATCCCATCAGCCACCACATCAAAATCCACTGACCTTCTCCTCTGTCTGTCCTCCTGCTTTAATAAATCAAATCAATGATTTGAGGGTTAGTGAAGTATCTCAGTGCTGGTCAGGTGCTGCTCGTGCTGGTTGCAGTGCAGGTGTGTTTAGAGGCATAGTAATAGTCCAGCCATGTAGTCAATTAGTGTGTATGGAGAAAGGCAGGCATGGGCTGGGGGAGCGAACAGAGACCACGAGGCAGGGGATGGGACAGGACAGGAGAGAGGGGCCGTTTTAAAGGGTTATCCCCTGTCAGCAACTCTGACCAAAGGGATCACACTATGTTGTCGTCTCTTTTCAGTCTCACACTAAAACGTGGGGTCTTTGTTTCTTTAGAATTTCATTGTTTCTCTGTCTGTCACAGCATAACCTCTGAATTACAGGGTAAATATGGGTCATATTTCAGGTAATAAGATTTTGGTAATGGTTAAAGTTCACTTAGACATCTACATAGAACCAAAGTCTTGTACGAAACACGATTGTTGTTGTTTTTTTGTTGGTTTTTTTTTTTTACAAGTCATTGACCTCACCATTTCAGATTAAAAGCTTGATTAAAGCATTTTAAAACAAGATTTTAAAGTCTTGAACAAATTAAATTTAAGGAGGAGCTAATACAACTTTTTACATTCATAATAATTTTATTTATTTAAAAAAGTCCTGAAAATATTTATATATAAGCATATAACGTGGCCTTCGTGGAATTAGAATTGAAGAGTTTTATTTTGTGTTATCTTTTTGTAATATACAATCTCTTGTGTTTTAATTTTCAGAAAAATACAATCCCAGGCTTCTTTCTTTTTTTAACCTTGTTTCTACTACTGAAAAAAATGTCTGGCAGAATTAAGTCTAAGAGATGAGCAAAATTAGCTTATGTCTAAATCTCAAAATTGCCATTTTGAAAGTTTAAGTTGCTTCTAAAGAAGCTAAAATTTTAAGATCCCTAATTCAAATTTTTAAGTCATTAAGTTGAAACTATCTAACCAGATTCTTACTCTGGATGGCATTACCTTGGCCTCCAGTAACACTGTGAGGAACCTTGGAGTCATTTTTGACCAGGATATGTCCTTCTATGTACATATTTGGTATCAACTATCTTAATTGCCCCTTGGGGATAAATAAAGTTTTCGTGGCTTGACTTTGACTTGACCTGATATTAAACAAATATGTAGGACTGCTTTCTTCCATTTGCGCAATATCTCTAAAATTAGAAATATCCTGTCTCAGAGTGATGCTGAAAAGCCTTCAGCTAATCCAAAATGCTGCAGCAAGAGTCCTGACAGGGACTAGAAAGAGAGAGCATATTTCTCCTGTTTTGGCTTCCCTTCATTGGCTCCCTGTTAAATCCAGAATTGAATTCAAAATCCTGCTCCTCACATACAAGGTCTTAAACAATCAGTCTCCATCTTATCTTAATGATCTTATAGTAGCATATCACCATTAGTGCACTTCACTCTCACAATGCAGGCTTACTTGTAGTTCCCAGAGTATTTAAAAGTAGAATGGGAGGCAGAGCCTTCAGTTTTCAGGCCCCTCTTCTATGGAACCAGCTTCTAGCTTGGATTGGGGAGACAGACATTATCTCTACTTTCAAGATTAGGCTTAAAACTTTCTTTTTTGCTAAAGCATATAGTTAGGGCTGGACCAGGTGACCCTGAATCCTTCCTTAGTTACACTGCAATAGGTTTAGGCTGCTGGGGGGTTTCCATGATGCACTGAGTATTTCTTCTTCAGTCACCTTTCTCACTCACTATATGTTAACAGACCTCTCTACATTGAATTATATTTGTTATTAATCTCTGTCTCTCTTCCACAGCATGTCTTTTATCCTGTCTTCCTTCTCTCACCCCAACCGATTGCAGCAGATGGCCGCCCCTCTCTGAGCCTGGTTCTGCCGGAGGTTTCTTCCTGTTAAAAGGGAGTTTTTCCTTCCCACTGTCACCAAAGTGCTTGCTCAGAGGGGGTCATATGATTGTTGGGTTTTTTTCTCTGTACGTATTATTGTAGAGTCTACCTTACAATTTAAAGCCCCTTGAGGGGACTGTTTGTTGTGATTTGGCGCTGTATAAATAAAATTGAATTGAAAGTTTAGTTTTAACCATTACTGAGCATTATTAGCAGCATAACCAACATTATTTTGTGTCTCCCATTTCTAGGTGTCTTTTATATGATAAGAGCATAGATATGTTTTCATAGCATCTGTTTTGTAGAAACTACAAATAGAAGATTTAGTTTAGCAAATTGATTGATGATTTCACCTTGCTAATCATCTCCTAACCAAGCTAGCTTAACCCTTTTACAAGCTTAGCAACCAACCAAAGCTTATGTTTAAATTGCTTATGTAACATTAGTAGTGAGATTTTTATTAATTAAATTTATATGCATGAATATGACCATTTATTAACTACTGTCAGTGAATATTTATATTGTAACATTTTATGTCCTCTGACATTAAACATGACATCATCTGATTATTTTAAAAAAACCTATATAAAATAATTATTTATTGTTAGTTTCTTTGGAGCCTTGGCACAAGTGTAAGAAAGTAAACGTTTTTTCTTTCAAGGAAAGTTATTTAATCAGTTCACTTTTTTTTAAACACAATTCAGTACCAGTGTGACATGTTTCCATTCAGGTGTTCAATCTGTGGGCTTTTGCTTACGTGACCTAAGTCAATCTAGAGCAAGTGTGGGCAATACTTTCTTTCCAAAGAGCTGCTTTAACCTAACCACTTTATGGTAAGAGTGTAGACTTTTACCACTCATCTGTACCAGAAACCTGAATTGTGTAATACACATGCAAAATATGTTTTTTTCTGACCTCTCTGCAGAAACAAGAAAAATATATACCCTACATTTAAATATGACACTGCTGGTCATGTGAAATCTCACATTCATTTTGTTGTAACGCTTAAGAGAAAAAGATTCCATTGAAATAATAGCGATGATTTTTTTTTTAAAAACTGAAGCCAACGCAGTCACAAGAGGGGTCACACCAAGACTTTCAATAAAACTTACCACTGTGGAAACAACCCTCAGCCCTGACCTCAGTAAGCAGTGGACAGATGAGCTTGTGCGCTCAGTATCTTATTTCAGGTCATACATGAATAAAACATCAAGTTCATTTTGTAAATTGTTTTCAGGAACCTAAAGAAGTCCAGCGGCTTTCAAGCACAAGACTGTCAGAAAGGAGGACTAAGTCATTAGCCAACAAACATGCAGTTTCATGGGTACATCAGGTTTCAAAAGACAGAGACGGTGTCAAAAATTCATCCTGAGGCTTCAATATAGGACTTCACAAACCTGAGTAATGTCACAGTACTTTCGTCCATCCGTTATACTGTATATGCACTTTGCCCACAGTAATGATGGCTCATGACATGCGGGCAAAGTGATACACTGCAAGACAGTCATGATATTTACATTATGTTTAGTGCATCAAGAAGTTTTCACTAAATTACTGACAACAGAGGCAAGCATTTCAAATATTAATAACCCGTTAAACTGTTTACACTGTGGTGTTTTCAGTATTACTCTTAAGGTCAGCGTTCAAACCTCAACCTACAGTTGTGTCTATTCATGTGTAGTGAGGCAAGAATTATGCTGGCACCAAGACATGAAATGAAACAGACAAAATGTTAAGTAAGAATTTTTACTTTGAGGAACAGTTAATTGCAATGCAATTCCACATGCTTCTGCAGGTAGGACACATGCTTTGCAGGACAGACCAAATCATTCAGTGCTGAAAAGGAACAGATTTGCTGTAGGGTTCAATTCAGAACAGAACTGCTTGCATTAGAAATTTGCCCTTTCATTCTAATGTAAATGAAGTAATACAATACAAACTAATTTTTGTATCTGTGGATATAATTAAACTATTTGGCCTCACTTTGACACTAATTAGTGGCAACATTAAGGAGTAGATCTATTCGATTATATCATTTCTCACACCAATCCCTGAATGAAATTAAAGCAACACATACCCTAATGAGCAATCGTTAAACCATTGATTCTCAAAAGTATCTAAGCCACTTTCCTCTATTATTTAGTTCTGTACAGAAATATAATAAAACCAATACCAACCAATCCAGTGAAATAAATTTTAACCTGCTTTGACTTTATGCAAGGATTCAGCTAAACTTGTTTATGAAAGACTGCGGAGTAGGCTCTGTAAATAGCACCCTGTGTCTTTGGGAGGCAAGGGGGGTTTAGCCCAGTGACCCAGTCATGTGCAGAAAACTGTGCTGCCAATCAATAACCACATATCTAAGTACCTGTTATTGATGTACAAACCAAAACAGCAATTTTAATGTTACCATTAGCCAAAGTTATGACAGCTGTGTCTTTCCATAATTCTTTATATCGCAATACATGACATGTCAGGTTTACTGAAAAAAAAATGTTGTCATCCAAGATCCCTGACCCGCTTGGAAAAACAAAAACAAAAAAACAAAGACATAATAGTGACACGGTAGGGTTCTGGTGGCTGTAGTTGCACTGTTTGGCCAATGCAGGCATAGTGAGAGTCACAGATGAAGTGGTGGCTATGTGAGAGATAAAGTGCGTTCAAATTGAGCATACAGCAGTGAAGCACTGCACAGTGTCAGTCCTCCTCATCACTCCAGAAGGCATCATCATCTTCATCAGGGTCCACACCGAGAAAAAGCCTGCAACAGGAAAGAAAAGATGCATTCACAAACAATACGTAATGTAAATATAATATCAATAAGTCTAACTTGGGGAAGGGGGTTAAAAAAAGAAGAAAAAAAAATCTCTTACTGGTTGTAACAAGGTGAATGTGGGTTGTTAAAGTGACTGTATGGGTTGACTTTGCTGAGGACGCCCAGGCACAGCCAACAGAAGTACTGCTTACAAGAGGTGCAGGTCATCTTGTTACAGCCATCAACTTTCTGAAGAGACACAGAAAAGATACATTAGCTACAACTGAGATAATCTGGAAGTGAACACAAGATGTTTCACAGACAGAACAGAAAAAATAATGACATATGACGCCTCAGTCACTGGCCTAAAGATCACTAGGCAACCTGATTAGACAGTGGTTTCCAGGTAACAAAAAAGGTTGCTCTGCGATTGCCTTGGCTGCCGGCAGATTGCTAGAGTCTCTCGTCAAGGATTTCATAGACTTCAATGAAAGCGCTTAACAACTACTCACCGAGCATTAACGAAAATAAACACGTGACACAAACGCAGACAATGATTCCAGGAGTAAACATTTCCCCCTAGCAAACATGAGTTGCTAGTAGTGATGTGACGTTCTGTATCGAGGCTTCGAAGCTTGTGTCGAGTAATTGAGGGG